AATTGTCTCGGATAGAGACCCGCGGTTCACCGCGAAGTTCTGGACGTCCTTGTTTAAGGTGCTTGGCACCCGTTTGGACATGTCCACAGCGGATCATCTACAGACCGATGGTCAAACTGAACGCGTTAACCGCGTTGTGGAGGACATCCTCCGAAGCGTATGCGCTGAAGCGCCAAAACGCTTGAGCACGATGCTCCCACGCGTTGAGTTTGCATTGAACAACGCGGTACATGCCTCCACAACTCATTGAAGAAAACAAGACCCAAGCCAGGCGCATTACCGAGTTGGAGAAACGGATGTCGGGTGGGATCACTATTTCGAGCGCTGATACTCGTCAGGTTTCTGAGACAACGCTTGATGTTGATTCTAGTACGATCAATAACGTCAAGTTAGTTAAGTTGAAGCTACGCTCAGCTTCGAAGTCTGCAGCAGCTACTTGGTTTGAATGGTACACAAGAACGCCACGTCTTTGGGAAGGCTGTGGTGTTCGTCAGTACAAGTCACAGTCCAAGCAAATAGTCAACTTCATGAAGTTGTTCTTATCTCATGGATTTACACTCGATCCATCCTCATCTGGGTATAGTGACCGAGTGATGACAGTTGGTAATACTGCCGAAGCCAACACGAAAGCTTTCCTTCGAGGGAAAGGCATGAAGAGCAAATTGGGGTCGGGGCTTCTCAAACAACTACGTCTGCTTCATCGTAACGGCGCTCCAAAAGAGGTCATTAACGATTACCGAGCTCGCTTGTCCGTTGGTCAAATTTGCGGTCCTGCACCAGAGGAAACGAAAGATTTCGCATAGTTAAAACGCTTTGTCAAATTTGGAATCTTTTCTTGGGATGTATTTTTGGCCGTTGCCGTTGAATTTTTTTATGAATGAACCCCACTTGAAAACATAATTAGTTTTTCAAAAATAACCTTTCAATTCGAGCAACTTACCCACTTCAGGTTTTACTACGAAGGTTGCAATGCCACAGTTAGTCGCAAGGGGTTTGAGACTGCAGTCAGAAGTTGCATTAGACTTAATTTTCCTAGAGCAAGAATTACAAGTGAGGCTCTACGGTACCTTCGCCTTGACCTCCGCGCTGAAGTCTCCGGGCACATCGGATTCCCTAGTGGCCTGGTCGCTACCATCGCTGCACTTTTGGAGCTGGCTGGACGGCGTGTTGAAGGCCGTCACGTCCTAGCTTGGCGGGCTCGTAAACGTGGTGAGAGACCGCAGACAGCGCAAATTCCGAACATGACCGAAGCGATTTTACCGATATCACCCAGCGTCGCAGAAGAGAAGTCTTCGCCGATGAACTCGACAGCTACAAATACTGTCCCCGATGAGAAGCCATCCAGTTTAGAAGAAGCTGCCCAAGCGAAATCGTCAAACCTAGACGAAGCTGCTGAAGTGAAGCCATCCAGAGGAGAAGAAACTGCCGAAGAGAAATTGTCCGAGGGGGAAGAAGCCGCTGATGAGAAGCCGTCACCGCATGCTGACAACG